TATATATATATATATAACATAATACAATTTACATACTATTATACTACAACTTTACTATAATTTTGTAAGTATATTGTATGTCATGTCTTCTTCTTCTTATTCTTCGAGTTTCAATCTGAAACTCAGCCAAAATCAAGTCTAATCTTCATCAAATACCCTCAAAATTGAGATATAAACTCCAAATAATATTATTAATTATTTGTAACAACACCTCAATCCAAATAAATAATGATTTTTAAAAATCCAAATTCGATTTCAAAGTTTTTTAATGGCTGTCAATGGTGGAGAATCATACACCTTCAAAATTTATTGATTGACAATTTCAATTTGAACACCAATTGTGCAATATGAAAGAAAATTGTCAAGTTAAAACGATTGAAATTCATTGATGAATTTCATTAAAACTATATACAACAAGAAAGCATAAAAAAACAGAGAATACCAAATGAAGAAAATTTGGGAGAAAAAACAGAGAAGGGGAGTAGAGAGACCAAGAGAGAGATAGAGAGAGAGTGTGGGCAAGTACAAAGGGATAAAGAAATTATTCATATTCATTATTTAATTCATAATATAAACGGATACTCATTTAAAACTTATTTGTATATAATTGGTAAATTGTATATGACTATGTAATTAAATTAAAATTTGAGTATGAAGGATAATAAGGTTTTAAATAGTGTATAGGAAGGTAAAAATCCCAAAATTTAAAAGAAGTTGATGAAAATTGTTTTCAAGCTAATATAAAATGGTAATGTTTTTTTCTTTGTTCTTTGAAAAGCACGCAAATGCCATCCAACTATAAGAAAATTGTCCCTTTATGGGCAATTGTAGAATATAAACAAAGAGAAAATTCTCGTTGATGGTGAAGAAGATAACGAATATAAAAATTTATATGAAAGAGAACAATCGGTGAAAAGGGTATTTACAGATAAAGGAGAATACAAATCGCTCATATATATCATCAGACTTCTCTATAACAACATCCGTATATAACAATCATTTACTATAAAAGTTAAATTTTTTTCGAGATCGATTGTTTATGCTATGTTATAATATATATTTTCTATAACAACACTTTATTAAAGCAGCAAAAGAAATCGGAACTAATGAGCTTGTTATAGATAAGTTTGACTGTATTCGTATTTGGTATTTACGCCAAATAATAATATTTTATCATGTTTAAGTAATTGCATCATGTGAGAATGTATATTATCAACCATAGTTAAATAATAAAGATTTATTTGTATGTCATGTATCTATTAATTTGATTTAAAACGGAAAAAAATAAATTTTTTCCAAATTATTATTAAACTTAATGAATTCAATCTTATAATCTATTGTACTGTTAAAATTATAGTTTCAGATTTACCATTTATTGAAGAGAAATAAATGATAGTAATAAGTCACAAAGATCTTAAAATTAGTCAATTGATGGAAATCAACTATATTCTTGAAACAAAATATTTGAACTTAGTATAAATATTATAAATATATAGTTGGAGTCGAAGACAATAAATTATTGATAAATATAATTCAATCTAAAACAGTAGGTGCAATATCACTCACAGCATAAATTTGGCCGACTTAAATAAACTACATGTGACCCCAAAAAAGGGCAATTGTTAGGTAAATTCACGTGTGATGTAGAAAAAAAACACTAAATGAAAGCACAGAATTTGGTAGGGTCTTTATTGAAAGTAATGTCAAGAAAAAAAACCAAGTAATATCAACGGCTAAAAGGAAGAGGCGCTCCCCATTTTCTACATAAATAAACATCGAGCATAAGTAAGAATTTATACGGCGGTGTTTGATTAGTTACGAAGTTTAAAAAAAAAAAAATTATTTGTAGTCTTAAACAATCTCGTGCATGAATATATTCACAATCTTTTTGCAGTTAAGCACAAACACATCAGAAGCAGATCTTGAATTTCTAGAACATAGTGTACCACTTAAAAAAAGAGAAATAAAAATTAAGTCGAAATAGGTCCTTGTTCCTTTAGGTTAATTATCAAACATTCAACCAAATGCATTATTCAGTCTTTTTGGAGTATAGCTACAAATAAGTAATATTAGATCAATTTTGAAAAATACATACATAAAACGAAAAAGGGCCAAAAATGCCCTTGAACTATCTGAAATAGCTCAAAAATGCCCTCCATTTATTTTTGGTACCAAAAATATCCTTGTCATCTATTTTCTGGACCACAAATGCCCTTAAACTTTTAGTCTTGTCATGACAGTCTAACTGGGTTAGATTTGCTTACATGACCATCCACCTAAGCAATCTAACATGGCAAAATTATTTTTTCGGAATTTTTAAAAAAATACAAAATCAACACTTATTCCAAAAAAAAGTAAAAAAAATTCTGAAAAAATTATTTTCCAGATTTAAAAAAAAAAATACAAAATCAACACTTATTCCGAAAAAAGTAAAACAAATTCTGAAAAAATTATTTTTCGAAAAAAATATTTTTCCGAATTTAAAAAAAAAATACAAAATCAACACTTATTCCGAAAAAATAAAAAAATTCCGGAAAAATTATTTCCGAAAAAAATAACGGTTTAATGGCATTTGGACCACAAAATCAACACTTATTCCGAAAAAATAAAAAAATTCCGGAAAAATTATTTCCGAAAAAAATAACGGTTTAATGGCATTTGGACCACAAAATCAACACTTTCCGGAAAATTATTTATTTCGAAAATTTTTATTAAAATACAAAATCAACACTTTCCGGAAAATTATTTATTTCGAAAATTTTTATTAAAATACAAAATCAATACTTATTACGAAAAAAGTAAAATATTTTCGGAAAAAATATTTCAAAAAATTATTTTTCCGGATTTTTTTTTTATTTTTTTCGAAATATGTGTTGATTTTGTATTTTTAAAAAAATTCTGGAAAAATATTTTTTCCGGAAAAGTAATTTTTCGGAAAATAAGTTTTTCATTTTTTTTTTCTTTTTTCGGAATAAGTGTTGATTTTGTATTTTTTTAAAAAAATCGAAAAAATAATTTTGCCATGTTGGATTGCTTAGGTGGATGACTATTTAAGCAAATCTAACCCAGTTGGACTGCCATGTCACCTTCAATGACAAGACTAATAGTTTAAAGGCATTTGTGGTCCAAAAAATAAACGGCAAGGATATTTTTGGTACCAAAAACAAACGGAGAGTATTTTTGAGCTATTTCAAATAGTTCAAGGGCATTTTTGGCCCTTTTCGTACATAAAATATCTAGTTTGACAGGGAAGACTATGAGTTTACGTGCCACATTTGAACTATAAATCTGCCCCTAAAACATGCACAAGAATTCGAAGAGTATGACGGAATAATAAAGATTTTTTTTATTTTTAACTATATATCTCGAGTTCAAGTCTTTGAACATGAAATTTTTCTTGATAGAAAATTCTAAAACCTTCGTAGTCAACCTTGCAAATTCGAATTAATTGAAGCACTTTAATTCTAACAATAAAGTGTGTTGAAAGAAAAAGAAATCAAATATATAAGGGGTGACACAAAAGGAGGAATGACAAGAATCTTGAAATTCTGACAATCCAACTTTAATTTGTAATCCCACTATGTGAATGTGAGATTAAACAAATAGTAATATTTCAAAGGTTGCAAATACCAATGAAAAAGTGTGAAATGTTGAAGCAAACAAAATGGGGTTTGAAATTTGAATAAATCTCAGGTGATAATTTCATAATGTGGACTCAACTCACATGCTCCTAATCTCAATTAAGTGAATTATGGAATCTCTCACTTTTCCTTAATTAAAGGACAGAAATATCCAATTTAGGACTTAATTTATCCACTTCCCCTCCATCAAAGGAAGACTTGATTTGGCCATTTTTTTTTTCAACTGCACCCAAAATGGACTTAGATCATTTTTTAAGTTGGTTTTGTAAGAATGAGTGTGAATAGAGTATAGATATAAATATAGATATAGACTTCTATAAATGAATTTTTGCACTCTCTGATCGCTTAGGGGTGTTTGGTATGCAGACTAAATTATTTCGAAATTATAGTCCTAGGATAATAATTTATAGGCTAATTTATCTCTCCTTGGAGTTGGTATAAAATAATCTCAAGTTTAACGGGATAAGGTGGGATATCCAGGATTAAGTGTGGGATTATATTTATATTGTGTTTAGTTAATGGCAGAATAAATTTATATCGTCAAACAATTATTAGTAGAAGACTCTCTACCCTCAAAAGATATGGTTAATGTTTGCGTCCACTCCTCAAACCCCACTTATAAAATTTCACTAAATTTGTTATTATTGTTATTGTAATCAAATATAATATAAATTTAATTACATACTTAATCTCACTTTATCCCGTATACCACACTAACCCTTAAAATATAATTAAGATAATTCAAATTACTAACATGGAAAATGAATCTTGTTGCTCTTGACATCACACACGTTTTCAACAGCTGTAAAGTATAACAGACAAATTGCTTTGAATCAAAAGACCTATTAAGCGCCCAAGAATCTTGACCCCTCAACAATGAGAGGTCAAACTGTAGTATTTTAAAATAATGTTCCATGGGCGAAAGGTTCAGCCGAACCCTGTTCGCCAAAAATTACACCATATATATAAAAAAAAATTATTTTTCTTGTATATATATTAGATGTTATCTCATTGGTGAAAATTCATCTACCTCATACTAACATAAATACAAGTAATTTTACCTACCAAGATTTAGACAAACGACCAGAAATCACTTAAAGCTAAGAGGACCACAACCAAGTCCAACAATTAACAACCAAAGGTGGCAGAAATTGACATTCAATGATCAAAGCACATGAATTTCCACCTTTAGCATTGATATAGACCAACTACCCAAAAGACCAAAACTTTAATTGAAATAAATGCAATTTGCAAGATAAAGAAGATGCTACAATAACAAAAGGAGAAAGAAACATAATGAAGAACACCCATTAAAAATAGAAAGGGACTGATCTGAATTCTGAGAATCAATACAAATAAAAAATGCTCATCACTATACTATTATTATTATGGAAGACCAAAAAAAAGACAAAGAAACCAAAGTATGATTCATTAAAAGGTTAAAAGAAAAAAAAGAAGCTGGATAATAACAATAAAACTCACCAAAAAAAAAGGGGAAACCAGTTACAACAAGCACTGTAAACTGGCTTTTCTAGTCCAGATTATGATCGTCTCTATACAATACAATTTCCCTGCAAAGTTGCAATCTTTTCTTTGCCAAATTTATTCTCCACAACTTCAATCTACTGTAGGTATAATTTTGTGTTTTAAGGATAGAGTTAGAGAGAAATTTTCTTAAAGAATCAATAGAAGGGGGGTGGAGGAGGAGAAGCATATGAAACTCCTATAACTGGTGGTAANAGTCGGCGGTGGTGGTGACATAACTGGTGGAGGAGGTGATGGTGGCGGTGGAGAGAAAACTGGTGGAGGAGGTGAATAAACAGGTGGTGGTGGCGGTGGTGAATACACCGGTGGTGGCGGCGGCGGCGAATAAATAGGTGGAGGAGGTGAATACACCGGTGGTGGAGGCGAATACACCGGTGGTGGAGGCGAGTAAATCGGTGGAGGTGGGGAATAAATCGGTGGAGGAGGTGAGTAAACCGGAGGTGGTGGCAAGTAAACAGGTGGTGGAGGCGAGTAAACCGGTGGTGGAGGCGGTGGTGGCGAGTAAACCGGTGGTGGGGGAGAAAACACTGGCGGTGGAGGAGATATAGGCACCACAACAGGTGGAGGAGGGGCAGGCAAAGGTGGTGAAAGCGGCGGAGGAGGTGGCAAAGCCGGAACAAATTTCCTACATTTGAAAGCATCACAATGAATCCTCTTAGACAAAAACGCCTTGCATTGAGCCGGGGACCGTTGAACCGGCCGGTTGGGCAAACAATTCCGTTGATCATCAAACTCCGCCAATCTCAAACAAACCGGCGGTTCACCAGTAAAGAAGTTATAAGAATATGTAAAATTCTCAAGCTTAGGCAGTTGACAAATACTCTTCGGAATAGACCCTGTTAGCATATTATGTGCAACATTCAACTGCTCCAAATTAACCAATTCGCCAAATTTCTCCGGCAACGGACCCATCAATTGATTAAAACTAACATCAAACACCGTCAAATTCTTCAACATTCCGATTTCTGTAGGCAAACAAGAACGTAACCCGTTGTTCATCATAATAACTTCTTCCAGATTACTCATGTTACCAATACTCGCGGGGAGACAACCGTGGAACCTGTTGTTCGCGAGTACTATAACAGAAACCGGCGAATTCCCAAAATTATCGGGTAATTCGAACGAGAATCTGTTGTGGTTGATGAAAATGGCGTCGAAGGGTCTGTCAAAAAGTTGTGAAGGTACATTACCTTCAAACTCATTAAACCTTATATCCAAGAATATTAACTTATGTAAACTTAGTACCACATAAGGAAATTTCCCAGCAAATCTGTTGTTGCTCAAATCCAACTCAAATAATATCTTCAAATTCTTGAATTTTTTTGGTATTGTACCACAAAAACGGTTGGAATTAATATGGAAAATTCCAAGATCAACTAGAAGGCCAAGTTCTTCTGGGAGGTACCCTGTAACAATAAAATCACAAATTTCGTTAAGAATGTACAACATCTAATACACATGCATAATCTCTACGACAAAAGAAAGCCGGCAGAATAATGTATAATATGTGTAACTGTGTATAATAGATGTATAATGGCTACAAAAAGTAAACATTAAGTCTAGTTGGCTATTGCCGTTCACCTAATCTCTTAAAACTAACTAAAAATGGCCGCAGATGTATAATATTGTATAATTCATGTATAATATATGTATAATGTATATCTGTGTAAAATATATGTATATCGACTACAAAAAGTAAAAATTGAATCTATATGGCTATTTGTGTAACAGGCTCAATATTAGATCTATATACACAGTATAATTTTTTGGCAATCCTACCTGCAATGTCGCCGTGGTTAAGGTCAATGCCGGCGACTGTACGGATTTTGGGGTTGTCAAGTGCCGGAGCACAGAAGATTCCGGTGTAGTTGCAAACATTAGGACCCACCCAATTTGCAGTAAGATTGAAAGGATCTGAAATTATGGCTTGTTTCCATGCTTGTAATGCAATATATGCATTCTTGATTCTGCTATTTTCAAAAACAAATGAAGGGTCAATTGAGACATTTTCACCTCTGTCACCAAATTCATCTCTGTAGTACAAAAGTTGCCTGTGTTTGATGTATTGAGCTTCAAAATCAGTTAAAGGGCCAGATTTTGAGACTTTGAACTCTGCATTTGTGAGCTGAGAAAAGGCTAAACTTAATAAAGAAAGGGATAAAAAGAGGAGAAAATATAAAGAGGAAATGGGTGTTTGTGTTTTTTCCTTCATCTCACATAAGTCATCTGAAAATCAAGAATCTTGTTTTTGTTCAAAGATTGAATCTTTAAGCAAACTTGAGGTGAAAAAAGTGGAAATTTGTGTATAAGAAAGGAATTTGGAAATGGGGTTTTTGAGATTTGAGGTATTTGTTGGGTTTTTTGGTTCAAAGATTGAATCTTTAAGCAAATGTGAGATGAAAGAAGTGGAGATCTGAGTATAATAAGGGAAAGTGGAAATGGGGTTTTTGAGATTTGAGGTGTTTGTTTGGTTTTTAGGTTCAAAGTATGAATTTTTAAGCAAATGTGAGATGAAAGAAGTGGAGATCTAAGTATAAAAAGGGAAAGTGGAAATGGGGTTTTTGTGATCTGAAGTGTTTTGGATTTTTTTTTTTTTGGAGTTCAAAGATGGAGTTTTTAAGCAAAATGTGAGGTGAGAGAAGTGGAAATGGGGGGTTTTGGGATTTGAGGATAGATAACGGAGAAGAGGCTGAATTTGAAAAGAATATGAAAGAGAAACAAGAAATACCAGCATATAAAAAAGGACAGCTAAATCACAGCTCAAAGCCCACTAGATTCTCTCACTTTCTCTATGAGTAGTAGCTAGCTGGCTACATTTTCTCCCCTCTTATTTCTTTTTTATTTATTACTCATTTATATGTTTCCCACTTTAATAATATGTAGTAACTTTATTACAATCTTGTTCTTTTGTTCTTCTAAATCAAAGGCGGACTTAGAATTTTAGTTAGCGTTTGGACAAAGATTTGGTTAAAACTTAAAAATATGAGTTTTGAAGTTGAGATGAAAAATAATTTATAAAAGTTGAAATTATGTTTGGACATACATTTTACTTGAAAAGAATTTGAAATTTTGTGAGTAAAAAACTTCAAAAACTTCTCTAGAGCTGTTTTTGGGATTTGAAGATTTTGTTTGCAAAATCTGTCAAAAAATGATTAAAATCTATAAATAAACAGATATTTGAAAACAAGATTTGAAAAAAAACTCCCAAATTTTATGGCCAAACGGGAGCTTAAGCTTGTGGAATCGAGGTCGAAATCCCTGTAAGATATTGGGTTCTGCATTAAGAAATTATATATATTCAATGAACTTTTAAAGACAAATAAAAAGATTGAACCAAAACTACTGAGTTTAGCCGAACCCGCAACCAGCATTCTGGTTTTGCCCCTACTTTTAATAACTAGTCATTAGGGTTTTGGAATAATTTATAATCACATAATTAAGTCATTCATTAAGAACCAATAATTTGATTTAACAAAAATAATGAAGCTTTCAGAATTGAAATTAGAGTAATAGTCTAATGGTTCTAAAAACATTTACGTGGTACAAATTTCATATTAATCTAATAGGTGCAACTCTCAAGCCGGTTAAGTGTTACAAAATTCAAAATTGCATTTTCCTCTTTTTGCTTCTCCTATTCATGGGTCTGTTCCACCTCAAACGAAAGAAGAAGAAAAACTCTTAGCAATAATAGTAATTTAGTACTTCAACTTCTCAACTCGCTTGATATAATAATTTATCTTTTATAAGAAAGACAAAATAAAAATATACTCATTTCATTTATTTTTGACTTTGCACTCTTTTTAGAAAAAAGTAAATGTAGTATATATTTTATAATTTTACCATAATAATGATAGCATTTCAAAAAATATTAAAAAATAATTTGAGAAATGAGTAGTTAATAATAAGGGTAAAACAAGAATTTTTTTTTTGTCTTTCTCTTAATTTGGTAAAATAGATAAATAAAAATAAAAATATATTTTTAGTATAATGAACAAGTAAAAGTAAACGAGTGGAGTATTTAAAACTCTCACTCACCGACTCTCATTTTAAAAGATATTTTTGGTATTTTAAATATATTTAGTTTACATATCTAAAGTATTCTCGAGCTTCTTAAATTTTTTGCCAAATTAAATATCTTCGTATAAAATGGGACGGACGGGGAATAATGACATGATGTGTTTGTTTAAAGATTAGTTGGTGATATGTGGCCGGCAGCCTGCGATTGAGGAGTATAGCTAATAAATAATTGTTTTTTTTAAAAATTATTTTTGGCTTTTTGGTGAGGTTGTAGACAGTTTCTTTGTTCCAATATAAAGTTAAGTGGGGTTTGTTTGTTTTTGTTTGTTTGTATAGTTGAAGTAAGTTTTGGGGAGAGAAAAAAAAATTATCTCCTTTTTTTAACTTTTGGTGAGTGACAAAATGTCAAATAGGTGGTGGGTGAATTCTCTCTTAGGCCATTTAATGAACTGTTTTTGGCAATAGCGTAACGCGAAACAGCATTGTGCGGCAAAATTGACGACACCGCTTCATTCCAATTTTTATTATTAGATATGTAGAAGAAAAAAATAAAAATATTAAGGATAAATATAAAAAATAACATCATTTATTATCATAGTAATTTGATAATTAGTCCACTTTTTCAAATTGTGACACTACGTATGAAATATCTTGTGTACGCCACTGGACGTCCGAATTTTCCAACAGCTGTTACACTTCTTTGAATTTCTTATTTCATCCCCAAATTGATATTATATGCGATAATCAGAAGTTTGTTGTGGAGGGATGGATAAGATTGACGTCTCAAACTATTTAATGAACTATTGTTGGCAATGATGTTATGCGAAACAACAATGTGAATATGAATTAGTCAGGGACTCCAATACAGATATTAGAGCGGTGGAAACAAAAAAAAACTTACACTTATTGTATCGAAATAAATGTCGTATCTCTAAACTATAAGTTTTGTGATGCATTAAACATTGTGTCTTATGGATTTTAGCTAAGTTTTAGCAGATAATTTAGGTAGGGTTAAAAGTCAACTTACCAATTCCAGCTACTTACGGTTAATGAGTAATTACAACAGAAGCAAATGCACTTTCAAGTTTTCAAATAAAAATACGTTCAAACAAACATTTTATCCTCTTTTAGCCACTGATAATAAGACAAATAAAAGTTCAAACAAGTGTAAGAAGGGGAAATTATGTCATAAATATTGTTTGATCAAGTGTGACGCGTTTATAATTGCATATTTCTTCAATAAATTGAGTTGGATTAAAATCATAGATAATTTTTGGGACCACATATATTACGAAAAAGGAACTTTTTCGTGTTAATCATAAAAAAGAATTAATTTACAAAAATTTCAAAACTCATAGCAAACCAAACGTCCAAATCACACAAAACAGCGTGGATCCAATTATGCCACGTGTCAGTCGGATGATGTTTCGGTCCAGTTGGAAGTTGCCAGCTGGAAGTACCAGCTGCGCATGACTTTTTTTTGTGTGATTAATTATTTTATTCAGGAAATATGAAAAAGGAGAGGGAAAAAAATCATACGACAAATCATGTTCCAGAACCAGCATTGGTCAAAACTCAAGAAAAGTATTAATGCCAGAATCAAAGCAAAACCGGTAGGTTGATGTAAAGTTGGAGTCAATTAATTTAAACAATTAAGAAAAAATAAAAAGACTATGAATAGTCAAGAGTGTGTACAAACTGGCTTAGACAATATTATTATTAAAAAATTAAAAAAAAGAATGTAAATAAGAAAGGCATGGGTGAAAAAGGAAGAGAGCCACGTAAGTTATGGGAAAATATTAGCAATAGATAAAGGGGTCTCAGAATAGAAATTGGAGACAAAAATTATCTATGTTGCATTTGAATTAACCAATAAAGATTATGATATTTGTGTCTCTTACATAAAGTTTTGTTATTTAATTATAATTAATATATATATATATATATATATATATTCTAGTATCAATTTATCGCTTAACTATAATAAATTAATATATATTACCAAGGGCTGGGTATGATACATAAGATTCCTCCATTCTTAATAAGAGGTCTAGAGTTCGAACTCTGAAAATAAAAAACATCCTGATAGGAATCGCGTTGCTTCCTTTAATCGGTCTAATGCAACGTGAATCTGAATTAGTTTTGCGATCCAAAACAGATTAGTTTGCTTGTTGTTGTCCCTTTCTTTTATTTTTCCTGAACCGATGGCCTACCAGAAACAACTTCTATATTTCTTAAAGGTAGGAGTAGGTCTACGTACACACTATTTTCCTCAAACCTCACTTATGAGATTACACTTAGTTTGTTGTTGTTATTGTTGATCCAAATCGGATACCGAATGCAAAATAAAAAGATTATAATATAGTTTAGTACAAATATGAAACACGAAAAAATCTTTTTCATAAAAATTACACTTATTAATTAGAATGGAGGAGCCTTGACTCTTGACTATTGACTCCTAAGCTTTAACCATTTCACGGTTTTCTTGTACTATTTTCGTCGGCAGGAGGCAAGAGGCAACCCTTCAATTCCAAAAGTATTATTTCTGCCACAGAATTTGGGACCCATATTTTAAAATATTCATATGATTCTTTGGCTCCTATATTTTCTTTACTGGTAAAGCCAGACCGACAAAATCGTACAAAAGAGGAAAGGTTGTTCCTTCTTTTCTCCTTTTTTTTTTAAAAAAAAAAAAAAAACTATTGTTGCAGACATTTAAAAAAAAAAAAAAAAACTTTATACAATATTTGATTGAAGTTGAATAAGAAAACAGTTTGAAATAATGAACCAAATTGTAAAATAAATATTGATTTGCAAATAATATTTTAAATTGAAGTTGAGATCATGAAATCATTTGTAAGGACAAATGACCAGTAGAAGCAGCAAACTGATTTTGCCCATACTGTCTAGTGTCTAGACTTTTATAAATATACTTCTTTTAATTACTATAGTAATGGATTTTCTTAATGACCACCAAACTTGAATTATAAATACTGATTCATTATTAATTAGATGTCTCAGGTTTGGACTCTGAAAATAGAGTTGTCTTTGATAGAGAACGATTTACCCCCACAAATGGACTTTAAAGCGTGAATCCGGATTAATCGGCCCTTAAAAAGACAATAAAAGATTTTTCTTAATGAAGAGGCATTCATTAACTTAGATAGTGGACAATTTCAGTTCATTGATTAACCAAATTAGAGAAATTAATTGTACTTAAGAACAACTGAATAACCTAACGACAGTAGCTTGGGTGTGCCAGCTAGTTGTTCTAAGTTGGTATTTAATTTTACTTTTATAATATTTTGAGAAATGAAAAACGTTTACACCTACATAAATTAAAAACAAAGCAATGCCTGAAATTTCTAGTATAATAATTTTTGCCAATATGACTAAAGTAAGTTTTATAATAAAGCAACTAAATTTCTTGAAAAGAAAATAGTATTGCAAGTTTTTTTCCAATTAATGCCCTCTCTATAATTAGCTAGCTTACAAAAATATTTTAAGTTTTTTTATGATCATATAAATCGAGTAACATTATGAGATAGAGAAAAGTGAAAGTGGTCTAAATTGAAGTAAGGACATTTTGAAGTAATTGGTCCAGTGCTAACTTAATTAATTAACCTTAATCCCTAAAATTAAGATGTGAAAAAAGCCCCCTAAAATTTCTCCGCGTAATGAAATACTCATTACTGTTCCCA